GAGTTTGATGCAGCTTTGCCACATTTGTTTATGTTTTACAGAACAAAACTTAAAGCCACATGGCTCATTTGCATAAACTCTGAAAAAAGCTCAGCTTCTGTCGGACTCTGCGAGGCTCCTGACTACGGTCGCAGTAACTCAGACAAACCAAAGTCGTACTAAAACATTTACGAATAACATTTTTGCTCTTCAACTTCAAAGGCTTTTGAAGCTGTTCAAATGTGGCCACACCAGCTCGTCAAAGCCTGATCCCGTCAAGATGAGCCTGGGCAGGACTTGGATGGAGACACTAGGACCTCCAGGAGCCACAGGAGGCGCCAGTGCCATTGTGTCCTTAGGCAAGACACTTCACCCACATTGCCCTGTATGAAAGTGTATGTGTGTGAGTGATGGTGGTGGTCGGAGGAGCAGATGGCACAGTTGGCAGCCTCGCTTCCGTCAGTCTGCCCCAGGGCAGCTGTGGCTACAGTAGTAGTTTACACCACTGAGTGTTGAGTGACTGAATAATGAACTGTGAAGCTCTTTGGGTCTTGAAAGGTGCTATATAAATGCAATCAATCAATCAATCAATCAAAATGTCATTGATATGAAAATGACAATAAATGTTTTACCAAATGACGGTCAAAGGATTTTATAATGTCAGCCTTATTATGTATAATATCATAATATCAGGAGCTTTCCCACGATATCACAATAAATATCGTACCGTGAGGTTGATACGTTGACGATATCGTATCGTGAGACTTGGATATTGTTACACCTCTACTGCTGAATATTTAAAAGGTGAAATTTTTATGTTGAATATGAAACATATTGAAAAACTTCACCTAAAGTAACATTCTGAAAAAAAAAAAACCTCAAACATCTTGTGAGAATTTCAGCGATGTATAAAGTTCCAAATCTGATGGACCAAATGATCTTCCTCACTCCTCCTTCACACCTTGGGCCCAGTCTCTTTGAACCTCGCAGAGCCGATCCTCCTCGTCCTGCGCGAGCGTTTTCTGCCTCCGTTTTCGGCGTCGGCATTAGCGGCAGAAGCCTCGCGGAGCAGGGACCCGTCAGCACTTCCTGTTCTGAGGACCGTGTGATGTCCAAAGAGTCGAGGAATCTTCACTTTTAATAAGACTGAGCTCTGATCCCGAGTGCTGAACCAGCCCGGGAACCACCACAAACCCTCATTCACATGCAGCGAGGGAACGGCTCGGGCCTCAAACGCACAATTATTACAGATTTTTGTAGCAGTAATGTGACTTGCTTTTGTGGTTTAGGTTGGAGGAATCTTTTTAAGGCTCCTATAGAATGTTTTATGTATTACTCTGGTTTTATAAGTACTTTTTAACAGTCGGCTTCACATACAAAGATTTATATTCATATGCGAGAAAAAGTGTAGGTGTAGGAAAGCAGTTCTCCCTAAGGATGTAAGGAAAAAAAAAACTAAACTCCTCATTTCTGGATATTAAAGGTCTAATATTACACAAAATCGACTCTTTTGAGCTTTAAATCGGGTTCTAATTTCGTTCCCCAACTAATTTTGTTTCGAGTGACTCTCTTAGTCTACGTTCAGTCTGCAGGTTTAACGCTCAATTCCGATTTTTTTGTGAAATCCGATGTTTTTTCGAGGTCGTTCACATTTCCAGTTAAATGTGACTTGTGACACGACGACGTCAACCGCAGCGAGCGTCTCTGTGTTTACAGAAGTTCTGATCTAATCCTGCTTTAGTTCCTGTTTTAGTCCTGGTTCAGTCCTGGTTTAGTCTGTTTTAGTCCTGTTTAGTCCTGGTTGTTTAGTCCTGTTTTAGTCCTGGTTCAGTCCTGGTTCAGTTCCTGTTTAGTCCTGCTTTAGTCCTGGTTTAGTCCTGGTTCAGACCTGGTTTAGTCCGTATGCGGCGCAAAAGTTTGGCATCGCAGTTTATGTCACAAAAACAAAAAAAAACAAAAATTGTTATCTGTTTTTTTCATTTTAAATCTGAAAATATATATATTTTTTTCGTTTTCTTATTTTTGGTTTTATTTTGAAAAATGAATGAACGAATGAAACACAGATTGTGATGTTTTGTGTGTAAAATATTTGTCACATTTCATGAACATCATTGTTGTTATTTATATTAAACTCTTTAGCAGAAAAACGCTGATGTTGCAGTTTGGCAGCTTCACTTCTGTCAGTCTGTCCCGGGGCAGCTGTGGCCACAATTCCACCATGAAGTCTGGAGTGAATTTACCAGTGTATTTACCAGCTTTATTATTATTATAAACACACCACGGTGGAAAAATTCTACCCAAACATTAACGCTCAATTTGTATTTTTTTGTGAAATCCGATGTTTTTTCGAGGTGGTTCACATTTCCAGTTAAATGTGACTTGTATGTGACTCCAGTGTGAACATTAAACGGTCCAAAAGTGTCCCACATGTGACACTGGAGACACGACGACGTCAACCGCAGCGAGCGTCTCTGTGTTTACAGAAGTTGTCCAAACATGGACGCAGCATCGAGCACCTGGAGATTTTAAAGTTCCTCTCGTACCGGAGCCAGAACATGAACAACTTACTTGTTTTAAGGAGGAGATTGAGAAGGAGAAGGACGAGGTTTTTGGTCGTGGTGTTTTGTGGTGAGTGGAGATGTGCTTCACTTCAGTCACACAGAGTTTATT